TTTTTTTAAAAAAATTAAAATTATGTTTTATAGTTTTGACTTTATAGAAACTTTCCTGAAACAAAACATTTTGACCTTTCTCCAGATAAAACTGAAATTTGTGAACTTATTGTGTGAACRATTAGAGATACTTTCTTCTTCCATACATTTTTAACATGTAACTTGTTCCGCTATTCTTGTGCTATTTCAATAATTTTTATAYGAAACAYTCAGCTCCTTCAGGACATTCTGGATTTGACTTTTTGTATTTCAGCAATTTATACTTTTTGAGATATTTAGCTTTTTTCTGCCATGTTTTTCTTATTGAAAATGAACAAAGCTGTTTTCAACTTCTTTAAAATCCTTCAAAAATGTTTCTAAATCTTTACTGCACTTTTTACCTTTTCTTCTAGTTCTGCTTCTTTAAACTCCTTTGTAATTTTTAGCTTCATTTAGGTCCTATTTTGCTGATTTTAGCTTTTTCTGCATTTTTAGCTATCAATTTACCTGCCTTTTATGCTTCTTTCAACATCTTTCTGCTAATTTCAGCTGTTGTGTGTTTTTAACTGCTTTTTAGCTAACTCTGGCTTTTTTTCATCTAAATTCACCATTTTGTGATAATTTCAGCTTCTTACAGCTTAAATCAGCAAAGCTGTTCTGTTTCTTTGTGCTAATTTTAGCTATTTCAGCTACTTTTTAAATGTATTTTTAGGATAGTTTCAGCTTTTTTAGCTATTCAGCAAAAGTCTTTCCACATTATATTCCCTCAGCATTTTCACGGGAAATGAAACATTTCTAGTTTATCTTGAAATACTTTTATCACTACAGCTGTGATTTTAATTAATCCCCTCATTAAGCTGAGTCTGCCTCATAATCTATTCTAATAATTCCACTTTAAGCTTTTTAGTCAACCTTCATTAGCGTTATGATGACTCAGTTGATGAGAAACATGTTTTATTAAGTAAACCTTCGGCCTGAGAAGCTGAAAACTTTCTCCACAGTACTTTATAAAAATCAAGACGAAGAAAATAAAAACGTTATGTGTCACAGTTAAATCTGCCACCTACGTGTAAACTTTAAGAACAAAGTCTTTCTCCTCTTTGAGCTCAGAGATGATCTGCAGGACGTCGCTCATGGCCAGAACAGCGCAGCCGTACGGCCGGCGGTACTGAATGTGTGGAGGGCCTTTTTTACTGTCATTCAACAGCATCCGACCTGCAGCAGGAGAAACGTCRACACATGGAGGACCTTTCTTCACTTTGGTTCAACAGGATCTTAAAACCAAACTGYGCTTCTGCTAATATGAGACTTACCTGTTCGAATAACTTGTGAGACGATGTAGAGATCCCTCTTCATGTCTTTGTTGCTCAGGTCCTGCAGAGGAGGTTAGAATGTTGTTACAGTTGGTTTTGAACTGTTCGTTTTTTATTAGGCTGGTTACAAAATGTGGGCAGGTTTGGATCATAGCATTGCTTAGAGGGTGAATTTGAGAATCTAGAATTGCAGATTTTGAATTTAGAAAGAACTGAAAGTTGACAGCTGATCTTTGTAGGAGCAATAGGGGGCAATGCAGCCTTATTTTTATCATTTGCTTCAAATGTTCAATCGTAAAGTTCACCAAAAGCAGATTTTTAACTGTTTTATTTGTGTACTTTTTACCGTGAAGAGTGCACACAGCCTGTCCACCTTCTCCGGATTCTTTGGTCCTCCGTTTTTRTTCAGTTTCACCATAAACTTCTCACTGAAAAACAAACAAAAAAAGGTTCAAGCTCCCAGTCCTGGTGAGGTTCTGGTTCTCTGACARCTGCAGGGATGCAGGAGAAGAGTGTTTTATTTTAAACACTCATCCCTGAAGGTTTGCAATGAAATCTTTACAAAAACAAGATGAACTAAAGTTCCAGTAATTATCAATAAACCATTTCAGCCAAATWTCATCCCGTCAGCTCGTACTGCAACGTTTCACCTTCAGATCCTTTATAACCATCACGAAACTCTGATCTGTCCTCAGTTCACCCCAATACCCTCCCYCAGTCTCCTCAGGGGGTCTTTGTAAAAGATGCTCATCTCTTCTCCCCCTGAAGCACAAACAGTGAAGAAACTCAGGAGAAAAGGGTGTTTGAGACATTTTTACTGCCGTGAGAAGAAACATGAAGTCTGTTAACCTTTAATCTGTTAAACAAGGAGAGGAGATAAACTGTGCAGCAAACATTTGAAGCCCAATAATATTTTCTAATAATTTAAACTACCAAAACATTTTTTAAAAATATTGTAATAACAGTGTGCAGAAAACTTGTGCTGAATTATAACACAGTTATCTACAGATAGCTGGATGTGGTCAAGGTTTTGTTTACATTTAATGCATCCCTCTCTACCTGCGTTTCCATTACAAACATGCACAAAACTTAGTCAATATTCTGCTGAGGTCGAAAAAACACAGTTTTGCAGTGTTTCCATTAAGTAAGAAATGCTATTAAAGTCACGCTTGAATACATTTGTTCTCGCGATAAGTCATTACAAATATGGCAGCGATGGATGTAAACACATGAATATTTCTACCKCGACACTAGYGCTCATCATCAGGGGAGACRTCRGCGTCTTATCGAGGCTTYCGAGTAACMAGACCCTTATACTTGGGAGCCGCTACTTATGCTGTGTTTTTGGGAAAATGTAGTCGGTGATTTTAGTACTTTCTTTTACTACTTTGGTGATTTTACTTCTACTTCCTGTTGTCTTCTTCTTCGTCATCTTTTTCTCCAATAGAAACATCCAGTTGTTGATCACGTGACCCCTGTGATGCAAAGAAGTGTTTCCATTGCATACACCAATTTTGATACGGCTGAAAAACCACCTTATCCTAGCGCAAAACTGTTTGTCAAAAAACTTAAGTTTTTTTTTAATTGACGTGTTTCCTTTAAGCACGTGTTTTCGAAATTCTAATTTGCACATTTTTTTGTTCAATGGACACGCAGCTTTTGACACACACAAAGAAAACACACAGCCTGAGGGTCAAATGTAGCCYCTGAACCATCATCACCTAGCTCTCCTGTTCTTAAATACACTTTAAAATAAATCAATAAAACAAACTAGTTTATTTTAAATTAATTCTCAAGTGAATAAAAACAAATACCSTACAGGTCTAGACATTTAGGACTTTGCAAGAACTTGTCATTTGAGTATCACCGTCTTTATTAAGTTCTACAGGAGGACAGTATTCAGGCAAACATCCCAACTTTGACAAATCTGTTATAGTTGAAAAAAAAACACTAAAAATGACTTTATGCATGCCATGATGACTTAAAACAACACAACCATCAASTTAATTTACTGCATTCAAACCTGTTTAATTCAGTGTTTCTATTGTTTTAACTAAGTCAAAATGGGACTGTGCAGGAATTCCTCTCTTGCTTTAAGAGATTCAGTGTTTTCTGTGACAATTCCCATTTTGTATTTTTATTATTCTGGATTTCAGCCTTTAGTTTGCTTTAGGTTTCACAGGAGGCAGCCTGAGGGCAGAGAGCAGGGAGCGTAAATAGCCACGGTGTAGCATCAGGCTGGAGCAATGGAAGCTTTTAATGTGGTATCTTGATAAATAATATATGAAGACGCTCATACCTCAAGGAATTTCTATATAGTTTTTGTTTATTTACTGTCCCAAGGAAAAAAAAAAACAGAGACCACATAGTCAACTGGAAACATTTTTATAAACTACATTTTGATCCTGATCATCCTGATATTTTGAGCAAACATTTCTAGCTACAGCTCATGAAGATGATATTTTTAATCAGTGTGCATTGCCAATGCAATGCACACTATTGTGATTCGTTTCCCATCCAAGTCATCTCAACTTTGCCATGCTTCTCYTCCTGCATACTTTGTCTTAGAGCTGCCATTGTAATTTAWATCTGTAAAGCYCCTGTGCCAAATGAWGGCTATGCCTTTTGGTGCCTGTAAAACTTATAGTTTATGAAATATTACTGTTTAATGAATTATAATGGCAGTCAATGGAGCCTTGTATTGGTCCAATACTACCCCATGATGTACTCAAGTTGGTACTGCACCATAGTTTAATATTTCAACTCAGTAGTTCAGTGTTTACTGTACTAATATGATTGTATTTTGATGTTTTACTATAATATTGTCTTAATACTGCTCGATTGTTGTAATATTATGCATTTTTGTGTCAATAATTGTTTTGGCAATGTGGCCTCTTTCTGCACACATACAAACCAACCCCTGCCACCACCTTCTGACACAGCTCCATTGGTCTAATGGTCTATGTCATGGACTTACATGTCAAAATTCTTTCGGCAAGTCCACTGCTGCAGGCAAAGCCATGCTACGTGGCAATGCACACTTGTTTTTACATCATAAAAACCCATGTCTAGTTAAGCTTGTTTTCTTAAAACTGTAATAATTTACTGTAAGGAACTGCTTCACTGCYGTGTATTTTCAAATACGCTTCCATATTTTTCTTTGGCAAAAAATAAAAGGCTCCATTTCCAAGAAAGATGTTCTGTTCGTAGCAAAACATTTTTCATGTAGTTGTTATTATTCAGCACACAYCTTGATGTAAAAAGGCAACTCCCAGGTTACTCCTACTGTTTGAACACACCTGCAGACACAATCAGCACTGAAGACCAACAAATCCTCACGACGCACACCGAGTGGGGCTATGAATGCAACAGTTTATCCTAATCCTCCAGAGACACTGCAGCCCAAACAAATACAACAGAAGAAAATAAATATGTACCCAAACAATAGGAGCGAGTGTGTGTGTGTGTGTTCAGTGTGTGTGTGTGTGTGTGTGTTGGAAATGGTGGGTGATGAGGCGCAAAAGAGAACTGAGATAGCAGTCATGGCTCCTGTTTTCTTATTGTTGGAGGATTTTTTTGGAGCCGAGATAAAACTTCTGAGATAAAATGTTAAGTCTTCAGCAGGGAGTAAACGTCCTGCGTGTATGAAGCCATTAAAGCACAGCTGGGTTCAAGATAACTGTATATATTTGGAAACTGCATACATCTAAATCTGCAGACACTATTAGGCTGCAGATACGTGCAAAGATGCAGCAAATCCAACCCACACTTTTCTTGGGAAATGCATGCGAACCAATCATTTCTACACCACTGCCTTACATCCTGTAAACACAGTTGATCTGCAGAGGAACCTGGCTTCATGACAAACAGCGCGCACATCCATGCAGAGTTCAGCCTAYATTTGGGATTAAAATTCAAATAATGGAGCTTGTAAGACCTCATTTTGTAATAACAATGCATTATGTAATAATGTAWTAAAATCAGGCTTCAAAATGTAATAAACTCGCGCTAAAACTGCATTATTAAAACCAATATCTCTGTTCTTTCTTTAGATGTCCTGTCAAAAMTGTAAGATGCAGCCTCACCTACAATTCATGTTTCAGTACAGCCATGTCAAGTTGTAAGAATTGTCYGTAATTTGCACAGGTTTTATGTCATTTTGCAGGTATATGGATGTATAGCGCAATCAAAGTTATAAAGATTTAATTATGCAGTATTTGCAACATGACAGTTATTACAAGTATATTGATTAGGATGACCAGAAATTCTAGTTTTTGATTGTTTATTACATAATGCACCAGATTATTACACCAATACATTTTGTAACAATTGCCACAAAATGTAATAACGTTATTACATAATGCGGCTGAGAGTATTACAAAACGCGTTGAAGACTTTTATTACATTTTGCGTCAATTATTACATAATGTGGTTTTAGYGCGAGTTTATTACATTTTGAAGCCTGATTTTATCACATTATTACATAATGCGTTGTTATTACAAAATGAGTTCTTACAGAGCTGCTTGTTGCAAAGTTATTAAAACATTTCACAGCAACTGTTTGTGACTAACATCAAATTCTAATTCTGTCTTATTTAAGACATTTTCTTGTGTTTTAAATGAAAAATCAATGTTCTGTGTCCAACAAGCAGAGCTGCAGTCAGTAAAAACTGCTCACTTCGATGGTTTGGAAATGAAGAACTCGTGTTCTCTCTGGAAATCTATAAATCCTGTGAAGCTCATGAAGATACATGAAGTTGACTGATAAAATATATAAATTTTTTCTAATTAGATGTTTGAGTAATTTTAAAGACCTTGTAGCTTTATTGTATATTACATTTTATTATTTTTATTTATAGTCTGTTGTCTATACTAATA